ATTTTAAGATGAGTGATATTTATATCCCCCCTATTACTCAATACTCAAGATATTTTGAGATAAAAACAAATCTGTGGTTCTTTTATGTGTGTCACACCATAGGACATTACGTCACACTAAAGGACAGAAATGGTAGTTATTAAATCATTTCTATTTAATTTTGAACATGTCAAAGGAGAAAGAAAGTGTAATTTTGATACAAACAATATCAACACGTTTTTTAAACAAAACTAAAAATAATTTTCATCAACAAAATTCAGTCTCTTAGCCAATCAGTATGTTACTGAAACTCTTCTAGCCCCCAGCTGCATGTGCGGCACAGCTAAATATGATTGGTATTCAAACTATATTCATTAAGATGTGAATTCTTTTTTTTAACTGGCTACTCTTTTTAAGGCATGATTTTGATTCTATTTACTTTCTGCATCGTTCTCTTAGGATCTCCTCCCTTCTGGTGGATCCCTGTTAATTTTCTGTCTATATTTCCATGTCCTCTCTCTTCCAATAATTTCTCTCCCTCAATTATTTCTGTTTCAAAAACAAAGTATCACATTTTATACTTATTTTCATGACACTTTATAACAGTACAACTTTTCTGCAAAAACATCAGAAAATAGTTTAATTAATGTAATTATTGCATTTAAGAACACTGAAAATGATCAAAAAAGAATAAAAAGGAGTAAAACGATTCTTATTTAATTATTTAAAATGCTTTTTAAAGAGACCTTGTCCTCTGGCGTGACATCTTTGTCCTATGGTGTGACAGTACATGCGTCACACCGGTGGACATTATCTGTCACACCAAAGGACGTTTCAGCCTTGTGTGTCAATTAATGACCTTGCTATTCTGAGCTAACCTGTCATTAGTGGTTAGCAAAATACATTTGCATCATTTTCCATGATTATGTAGTTTAACATACAGTTTTTAATCTAAAAATATCATTTAGGGGTGTCACACCAAAGGACAACAAAACGTAACACTTTTGTAGTGGTTCCAAATAAATTAAATATTTGAACAGTTCTGAGGGAAACATTTACCATGTGCACATGTCATGGGCTTGATAGGGGGCTTCAGTAACACGACCTTGAACATTTTTATGTTTTTCTTTTTAATTTATAAAAGTTGCAATTTATTGAACCATGCTTGAGACAGTCACACCATAGGACAATTTTGAGATTTGGCTCAAAAATGTAAAAAAAATTAATAACACTTTAGCTTTTATAACAACAGGTAAGACAAAGAAATGTTTAACCATTTACTGCATTTTAAATAACGACAATTTTAATTATATTCATTTTTATCTTGTGGGACAGTGGAAATGCCACGTCACGTCAACAAGCCCACCTACTGTATGTATCTGCTAAGAAATGATAAAAAAAGCACAAAGCATTAGGAAAAAACTAAAATAATTCCAGGAAAGTGTGGTAAAGTAAGGGGAAAATCGATAAAAAGCTAGAATATTTAATAATAAATTGCCAGTTTTTCTTGTTAGAAGACATGAACAAAATGCCAACATCCACCTAAATCAAAGTTGTGAATTCAAATTAGCCACTATGTTGACAATAGTAGGCCTATTGTGATACAAAATACAATTCCTGATTGATATTTCACCCAATATATAAGAGTGAAATGTGAAAACGTACATATTTAGTCACTCTAAATTGTCTACAGGTAAACAACAGCGATATTTGATGAATCAACACTTGTTTGAGTTGAGTTGAGAACCTGCAGCCTATCAGCTCCCAGCGCAGATCTTCAATCATTAAACCACTAAACCACAGCCACCCCCAGACGCGTGACGTGTGATCGCTGCCGTCCACCCGCGACGCTCCTGGATCGCTCGCAGCGCAACATTGTAACCGGCGGATGCAACACGTCCCTCAGACTCACCGGTGCTGAAGCTGCGCGCCTCCCGAAGATTCCAGCATCCCGCGTCCTTTCACAGCTACAGTATGGATCATGATGCCTTTTATCGCCTGAAAAACTTCTCTTCGTTTTGTTTTGTCGCTTTACTCATCACGTTCGCATCATCTCGCGATTTAATATTCGTTGGAATCGGTAACCTGACACATCAACTCGGTTTTTGGTAGTTATGCTTGTCAGTTTGACTCTCGCGCAACTGCGCTCAATAAACTGACGCTTTTATTTAGTTGCACTTCAGCACCACCAAAAAGCGCAGAGAGATTTCTGGAGTGAATCACCGTCTAAACACTCAGCTGGAGCAGAACCAGTGTCATGGGTAAGAACACGAAGCCAAGAAACATTTCTGTTGGTTTGCTAAACGAAGATGTTCTCGCGTTTAAGTGCGTAATGGCATGACAAACAGTCATGTTCAACTTGAATCATCTGTTGCAAATGCGATAATTGTGTCGTTTTGACGCGTTTGTTTATTATGGATTTGTGCGTGTGCGTTTGTTTTGCATGCATTTCCATGGGCAATCAATTTCACCATTCCTGATTTCAGTCATGTTCTTTTCCACCTTCCTGATCATTCATCACTAGACACATGCATTTACTCAAACGCACTGTAATTTATAGTGACACACGGAGCTGAAATGGAAAAGCGTAATGCTTCTGGACTTTAAAATATGAGCCTTTTTGTACAAAGCGAGTTTATCGTGCGATTTTAAAGATATCAACATATGATGCAACAAATATATTAACAAAAGCATCTTTTTTTTCTTGTGTTTGTAGTTTTCTAATTATTATGGACACAGATAAATGGACAAATAATATTTTTTTTTTCTTTAGTGAGAAAATAATGCGCTGTTGCCCACAGTAACGCGTGCAGCACTAGATGTGCGTTTTCTTCTAGATCTACAAGGCTTGGTGCATTTATTTTATCACCATTATAGGAAAACGTCACCCTTTTGCCTTTACTGGTTAATTATGTGCATTAATCACACATTTAAACCTATCTAGTTACACACAAAAATGCGACTTTTCCCTTATATATTGTTAGCAAAAATACTGATACATATTCATAGTCTCACAACTGCATGCATAATATTAATTAAAATAATGACCACAATCCTACTTTAGATATTTGCATGGCACACCTCAAGACATCAACTTCCCAAAAGTATTTCCTTTCAACAACCCATGCTCAGAAGCGCTTTATGATAAGTCTGAATCATATGGAAAGAGGCTTTAATTGGTCTCTTGCTGACAGTTCAGTGGAAAACTATAGACCTTGCCTTTTGTGTCTTCGCATACAGGCTTCATAATGTTACATTTCCTTGTGCTTCCCACTGAAATCCACAAGCACCACAATCATCATTTGAATCAGTAGCCATGTTTTAATCAATTAAGGCTGTGTATTAGAGAGCCTCCATCTGTGGACACTGCTGACTCTTTGTGCTGCTTCTGAATTAGGTACAAATAGACGTCTGTCCTGCAGTCATATAGATCACTAACTACTGTACTGTAGAACTGAAGTTCTGCATGTTCCCCAGAAACATTGATGTCACATTTAGCTTCTAACACACACATTTTATATTCATTCCACAAATGATTCCAAGTATGGGTTTTGAGCTTTATGTGATATCTTTAATCATTATAATTCAGATATATAGTCAATTATAAACAAAAACCTGCTTAAACCCAAATTGTATGGCCAAGGTTTGATCAGTTTGAGCTAAACCTGCTATTATGTTGAACCAAATGTTGGAAGAACTCCAAGCACCTATAAAAGGAGCATGTGAGGTCCTCCTACAGAAACTGCACCTGAAAACCAGAGAATTCCCATACTTGGCATAATGTGCGGAGCTGCAGATCATCCTGTGATCAAATCTTTAACAAATACTCCATTTTGAGTCTCAGAGCTAAACAGTGTTAAATGAAGTATGTTGACATGAATAATTCATTTTCAAACCACAGATATGTTAATGTGAGTGAACACAATGTATGCCAGAGTAACTATGAGAAAACACCAGCTGATAACTGTATGCTCTATCAAGATTAATCTAATTTATTATTATTATCAAAATGCATTATCTTAAGAACTCCAGGGCAAAGAAGGGCTTTGCCCATATGGCACAAATCCAACTGCATTAAGAATATTTTGATATTCCAGTCATGCACATCAAAGTAGCTTTAATAGAGTTAGCCATGACTGGTTACTTTGCCCAGACTGCAGAAGTAGCCACAACACAGTTTACTCACTTGGTAAACACTTAAAAGTCAACATGTTTTACGTAATATGTTTCTATTATTATTATTATTATTATTATTACTAATACTACTACAGATTCATCCATGAATGTTTCTAAATACATAAATCTAAAATAAAATTAATTAATTCAGAATAAATAAATACATACATAGATAGCAATCATAATTTTTCATTAAAACGTAAGATCTCATTCTGCCTCGGGAACAACTTTCCTTTTGTCTTATGTCACTTAGACTTTAATGCTAACCAATAGTCAAATAGTTATTTAAGCATAGACACGGGGAAGTCGTGGCCTAACCTAATGGTTAGAGAGTCGGACTCGTAACCCAAAGGTTGCGGGTTCGAGTCTCGTACCGGCAGGGATTGTAGGTGGGGGGAGTGAATGTACAGTGAATGTCCTACCTTCAATACCACGACTGAGGTGCCCTTGAGCAAGGCACCGAATCCCCAACTGCTCCCCGGGCGCCGCAGCAAAAAAATGGCTGCCCACTGCTCCGGGTGTGTGTTCACTGCTGTGTGTTGTGTGTGTGTGTGTGTTCACTGCTGTGTGTGTGCACTTTGGATGGGATAAATGCAGAGCACTAATTCCTAGTATGGGTCACCATACTTGGCCACATGTCACTTCACTTCACTTTTAAGTTACTGACAAAAAGGTACAAAAGCTGTCACTGGGGGGCTAAAGGGTGCATAATATGTACTTTGAAGGTACATATTAGTACCTTTTGAAAAGGTACTGCCCCAGTGACAGCTTTTGTACCTTTTTGTCCAAGAGTGTAGGCAATGCAGCCTATGTAAAATAAACAATGACAGCAAGGATTTGAAAAAGCAGTTTTTCAACTGGGATAAGTAGATGATGCTCTGGAGTGAACTTGACCTTCACGCCTCCACGTCCCAGTCCTCAAAGCCTCCTCAAAAGTGAGCGTTTCAGGAGGGGAGTAGTCCTTCAAACCCACTGTAAACTCACATTATGACTCTATTTTACTATGAAATGCCCACTTTAACCCCTAAAATCATAAAATCAAGTCTCACCCTTTTGTGGCATTGGATATGCTGTTTCGCTAAATGAATCACACTACAGAAACAAAACGGGTTTCTGAAAAAGAGCAACTCACAGTGCAATCAAGATATATTTTCCATAAGCATGTATGCTCTCTGGGATTTGAACCCATGACCTTGGCATTGACTGCAACATTTGAGCTATAGTAATTGCCCAGAGAACAGATGGGGTTGAATGCTTGTTAATTTCAGCTTCATCACTGACAAAAAAATAATGAAATTCTCAGAGCCACAATGTTTTCACCTTTTCCTCAGGCAAGGTTTAGTTTGCTCTCCCCTATGGCTCTTGACAAGGCTTGTATTTCAATCGGATCCATTTTCCTTATGATCGAATGACACACAATAGACTCAAATTAGGATTAGACGTTAAACGTTAAACTCTGAGGACACAGAGAAAAAGGCATTACAAAAGCACAGCTAACTCCTGCGAGGAGGGTCCATTGGGAAGGGAAGTCCCCGTGTACAGTCAGCCTGAAAAAAAGGAGACTTTAATAGACCTCATTGGAAAGTGTTAGGAACTCATTCTGTGGACTGGGAATTGATGCTCGAGTGAAAGTTAATCTACCACAAAGCATGACATCAAGCAACATCCTTCAAAGTTTAAACTAGGGCTGTCAATCGACGTGAATTAATTTCATGATATCCCATTTAATTAATCATTTTCAAATTGATTGCATTTATCAATATTAACTAAGACAATCTCCCAAATGAAGATAATGCATTCATTAAAAGTTATTTTTATGTAATTAATTGTACTAAATTCAATTTACTGCTCTAATTTGAACACAAATGCTTCTCTAGAGTAACTCTTGACCTTTCTCCATCTGGTGCATTTCTAGCTGTGTTGGTTAGTTGTTCTTTGGATAAAAAGACAGGCCCTTCTGCTAGCAACAAAGATCTAAATACTCTTGTGTACCTGAAGGACTGGATAAATGTGGCCTGTCTGCCACATTTTGCTTTATTTGGTTTGTTACCATGCTACGTTATTTCTCAAACCCTCATCGCATTCATCTTGTTTCTTAATCATCTCCTGCTGAGTCCGGCCCGGGTATTACTCTCCACGTCATGGTAATGGAACACTGCAGCATTCATTTGAAATATCAACTTGTCTTTTTGCCAAGGGAGATGGCAGCCCTCGTTCTCTCAGCCTCTCTCCTCGTCCCGATGTCGAAGGGCCTGTTAATGGCCTTCTGAACCACAGAAACATGGACACGGGTGTCTCAAATGTCAATTAGTTTTCTTTGGGCTCCTCAAAAAATGTCTGTTAAAATGTGGTGGTGATACAGGTGAAAAGTTCACAGTTCCACAGTAAATTATTCATGTAATCTTATGCATCCATCAGATCACAACTATGGCCTCTATAGTGAGGCATTAAGGTAAAAGACAGGGAGCAGCAAAAGACGAAGCAATGTTTGCAACCTGGTTTACTTCCATAATGTGATACATTTCGGATGGATGGATAGCTTGTCCTTTCTTTGTAATTATTGGCAAAATTTACTAGTTATTTCTAATATGCCAATTTATTATCAATGTTGGAAATAGTTGAGATTTTTTTGGAAACTATGATACTTTTTCAAGTTTTTTTGATGAATAAAATGTTAAAAAGAACAGCATTTATTTGAAATAGAAATCCTTTGTAACAATATACACTACTGTTCAAATGTTTGGTGTCAGTATTTTTTTTCTTTCTTTTTTTGAAAGAAATTATTAATTTTATTCAGCAAGGATGTGTTAAATTGATAAAATGTGGTAGTAAAGACTTAAATTGTTAGAAAAGAGAATAAATGTTTTTCTGTTAAACTTTTTATTCATCAAAGAATCCTGAAAAAAGTATCACAGGTTCCAAAAATGTTTCCAACATTGATAATAAATCAGCATATTAGAATGATTTCTGATGGATCATGTGACACTGATGGCTGATGAAAATTCAGCTTTGCATCATAGAAATAAATTATATTTTAAAGTATATTAAAATAGTAAACCGTTATTTTAAATTGTAATGATATTTCACAATATTACAGTTTTTTCTGTATTTTTGATCAATTAAATGCAACAGCTTCATGAGCATAAAAGACTTCTTTAAAAAAAAACATTACTGATCCCATACTTTTGAACAGCAGTGTATAAACCTGAGGCAAAACATATTACATTTTGATGAAACATTCCAAACACAAATTAAGACCAGGATTGTCTTAATTTAAACAGATCAATTTTGATTTCATGTTGAGTTCAAGTAACCTAATTCAAGAAAATCAAAAATCAACATACTGTAGCATGCGGATAGTCAGGAAAGCACAACAAAGCTTAAAAAATAAAAATAAAAATTCCATTGCGAACACATCGGGCAGCTATGTTTTTAAAGACATCCTTATCTGCTCAGTTAAGTGAGAGGAAAACATTAAGTGAATAAGCTCTGCAAATCTTTGGCCTTTAATGACTCTCAAAGGTTTAATTTGCTCATTGATTTCTTTAACAGCCAGACGTGGAGATTGATTGGTTCACATGCAGCCTTTTTTTGGATGATGTTTTTTCCTGTTGTACCAGTTTAATAACAAGCAGTAGAAAATTGACCAAATCCATCGAGTAGCCCACTACTCATGAAATATCCTCGAGGAAAACCCATCCATATCTCAGTGGGAGCACTGCTCTCATCTAATTTTTTGTCCCCAATTAAAAGAATGTGCTGTATTAATGGGTCATATAATTACTTATAAAATGTTGTCTTGTTACTATATAAAAGCCGGTAGGGAATACAGCCAGCTTGCTTGGTTGCGAAGTCTCATGTTGGAAGAATTATCACATTCTTATGGGTCTTTATCCATTAAGGCCATGTCGCTAATGATCTCTGCTGCTAAGGGAAGCGACGTGGTCTCAATGCCATCTCTCTGTTCCAATAACTAGTCAGCAGGAGATGGGTGACTGGCCTTTAGCCACAGGATGAAACATATTTACTGCCCCAATAGGACACTATTATATAAAATTGATGACTGTGTAAACCGTTTGGTATGCCCCATTGCTGTTGCACATCTCTTCTTGTTAAAGCATCAACGCAAAGCAGCAGAACAGTGGGAAACTTATTTGTCATGTGTGTTACTTGCTAATGATACAAGCAAACTTTGAGACGGATGACCCTGATGTTGCCTTTCTCTCATACTTAATTTAGCGTGAAGCCTAAGATGCATTCAGTATTCGGCTGCTTTGTGCTACGTAGATTGTGAATGCTATTTTTAATCTGCAACATTAGTTAAATCTTTTGAGGGGGTGTACGAGAAACGACGAAATGTTCCGTGCATATGTTAGACGTATGCTGATTAGCTCCGCTCTGATAAGTGGATCTCATTGATTTCCATTCATTTAAAACACCCTCTTCGCTTCCCACTCGCTTCCATTTTGGCTAAAACCAGGGTACATTAAAAGGTGTAGTGCTAAATGATGGATAATTCCGCTTGAATTCTCATATTCGATTAGAGGGTCCCCGGTGCATTTTTTTTTTAGATTTCATGCATTATGTCCTAATAGCTTGAAAACACTCGGCACACTCTACAGGATGTTCCCCATCCATCACAATCATGAATCGTTTTCCTTGATGATAAAGATGAGGCTGTGCATAACAGATGAGCGCACCCACTCTGTCATTTGCAAACCTGTGCTCGCTAGGGTGAATACTAAAACTGACCTCAAATGTTGTCTGTCTGTGTTCTGTCTGTGTCTCTCCACAGGGCCCTTACTCTGGGAAGGGCGCCTGTCATGTTTTCTTCTCCATGCTTCTGTTCTCCTGCTGCTCAGCAAGGGGGAGCGGATGTGCCCTGTGAGTTGCCGCTGCGAAGGCAAGATTGTTTACTGCGAGTCTGGCGCCTTTCAAGACGTCCCGGAGAACATCTCTCTAGGGTGCCAGGGTCTATCCCTGCGGTACAACAGCCTCTTGTTGTTGCTACCTTACCAGTTTGCTCACCTCAACCAGCTGGTCTGGCTCTACCTGGACCACAATTCCATCAGCGTAGTGGATAGACTGGCTTTCCAGGGACTTCGCAGGCTAAAGGAACTAATCCTAAGCTCTAACAAGATTGCGCAGTTGCAAAACGGCACCTTTGAGACTGTCCCAAACCTGCGCAACCTTGACCTGTCCTACAACCAGCTGCAGGACTTGATGCCGGGGCATTTTCATGGACTACGCAAGCTTCAGAATCTTCACCTGCGATCAAACAACATCAAAAGCATCCCTGTCCGTACTTTTATGGAATGTCGAAGCCTGGAGTTTCTAGATTTGGGTTACAATCGCCTACGGACTATAACTCGTACGACCTTTCTGGGACTGCTCAGGCTGACGGAACTCCACCTTGAGCACAATCAATTTTCCAGGATTAACTTTTTCCTGTTTCCACGCCTCTTGAATCTGCAGGCTCTTTATCTGCAATGGAATCGCATACGGTCGGTCGTCCAAGGTTCGCCTTGGACTTGGCACACTTTACAGAAATTGGATCTATCAGGCAATGAGATTCAAGTTTTGGATCCTGCTATTTTTAGGTGTTTGCCCAACTTGCATATGCTCAATCTGGAGTCTAACAAGATCAGCAACGTGTCCCAGGAAGTTGTTTCATCGTGGATCTCCATTAGCACTATCAACCTGGCAGGAAACATATGGGACTGCGCTTCCCACTCGCTTCCATTTTGGCTAAAACCAGGGTACATTAAAAGGTGTAGCGCTAAATGATGGATAATTCCGCTCAAATCCTCTTATTCAATTAGAGGGTCCCCAGTGCATTTTTTTTCTTTTTTTTTTAGATTTCATGTATTACGTCTTAATAGCTTGAAAACACTCAGCACACTCTACAGGACGTTCCCCATCCATCACAATCATGAATCGTTTTCTTTGATGATAAAGATGAGGCTGTGCATAATGGATGTGCGCACCCACTCTGTCAATTGCAAACCTGTGCTCTCTAGGGTGAATGCTAAAACTGACCTCAAATGTGTTCTGTCTGTGTCTCTCCACAGGGCCCTTACTCTGGGAAGGGCGCCTGTCATGTTTTCTTCTCCATGCTTCTGTTCTCCTGCTGCTCAGCAAGGGGGAGCGGATGTGCCCTGTGAGTTGCCGCTGCGAAGGCAAGATTGTTTACTGCGAGTCTGGCGCCTTTCAAGACGTCCCGGAGAACATCTCTCTAGGGTGCCAGGGTCTATCCCTGCGGTACAACAGCCTCTTGTTGTTGCTACCTTACCAGTTTGCTCACCTCAACCAGCTGGTCTGGCTCTACCTGGACCACAATTCCATCAGCGTAGTGGATAGACTGTCTTTCCAGGGACTTCGCAGGCTAAAGGAACTAATCCTAAGCTCTAACAAGATTGCGCAGTTGCAAAACGGCACCTTTGAGACTGTCCCAAACCTGCGCAACCTTGACCTGTCCTACAACCAGCTGCAGGACTTGATGCCGGGGCATTTTCATGGACTACGCAAGCTTCAGAATCTTCACCTGAGATCAAACAACATCAAAAGCATCCCTGTCCGTACTTTTATGGAATGTCGAAGCCTGGAGTTTCTAGATTTGGGTTACAATCGCCTACGGACTATAACTCGTACGACCTTTCTGGGACTGCTCAGGCTGACGGAACTCCACCTTGAGCACAATCAATTTTCCAGGATTAACTTTTTCCTGTTTCCACGCCTCTTGAATCTGCAGGCTCTTTATCTGCAATGGAATCGCATACGGTCGGTCGTCCAAGGTTCGCCTTGGACTTGGCACACTTTACAGAAATTGGATCTATCAGGCAACGAGATTCAAGTTTTGGATCCGGCTATTTTTAGGTGTCTGCCCAACTTGCATACTCTCAATCTGGAGTCTAACAAGATAAGCAACGTGTCCCAGGAAGTTGTTTCATCGTGGATCTCCATTAGCACTATCAACCTGGCAGGAAACATATGGGACTGTAGCTCTAGTATCTGCCCTCTGGTGTCTTGGCTGAGAAACTTCAGGGGAACTAGAGATGCCAGCATTATTTGCAGCACTCCCAAATCCCTTCAGGGAGAAAGAGTCATGGACGCAGTGAGGAACAACTCTATGTGCGAGGAGATATTCACCGTGGAACCGACCACGGAATTAGCTCTTCTTTTGACTACAACTACGACAACTCTTTATGTAACAAAGCCACCCACAACCCCCACCACAACCCCACGCACCACAACTAGACAGCTTTCTCAAGTTACCCACGTACAAAGAGTCACCCCAAAGGTTTTATTCCCTGTTCAGTCCAACAACGAATTCCTACCACCCCTAACGGTAACACCTAGCAGTCTACCCTTCACCCCCGAACCTGAGTTTGAGCATATGACCTTCCACAAGATCATCGCCGGCAGCGTTGCCCTATTTCTCTCGGTGTCTTTAATCCTATTAGTGATTTACGTGTCGTGGCGACGATACCCTAACAGCATGAGGCAACTCCAGCAGCACTCCATTCGACGCAAGCGCAGGAAAAAGCCTCGAGAGCCTGAGCACAACATCAACACTCAACTTCAAGAGTATTACCTAAGCTACAACCATGCCAATGCCGAGACCATGGACTCTTTGGTTAACGGGGCATGCACCTGCACCATCTCGGGCTCCAGAGAGTGCGAGGTATGAGCAGTGAGGAACAACTCAGTGTGCGAGGAGATATTCACCGTGGAACCGACCACGGAATTAGCTCTTCTTTTGACTACAACTACGACAACTCTTTATGTAACAAAGCCACCCACAACCCCCACCACAACCCCACGCACCACAACTAGACAGCTTTCTCAAGTTACCCACGTACAAAGAGTCACCCCAAAGGTTTTATTCCCTGTTCAGTCCAACAACGAATTCCTACCACCCCAATCGGTAACACCTAGCAGCCTACCCTTCACCCCCGAACCTGAGTTTGAGCATATGACCTTCCACAAGATCATCGCCGGCAGCGTTGCCCTATTTCTCTCGGTGTCTTTAATCCTATTAGTGATTTACGTGTCGTGGCGACGATACCCTAACAGCATGAGGCAACTCCAGCAGCACTCCATTCGACGCAAGCGCAGGAAAAAGCCTCGAGAGCCTGAGCACAACATCAACACTCAACTTCAAGAGTATTACCTAAGCTACAACCATGCCAATGCCGAGACCATGGACTCTTTGGTTAACGGGGCGTGCACCTGCACCATCTCGGGCTCCAGAGAGTGCGAGGTATGACCTACCATTAAAAAAACGCATTCTCTGCACCGGGGAGTCAGAGGTAAACTTTTTATGAGCATGACTGCCCGTAAACCTTCTCTCCTTCTTCCTGTCGCTCCTTTGAATCACATCTTTCAAATGCTCACATTTAATTGCATGAGTAGAGGAATGGTTCACTTAAAAGCAAAAATTCTCTCATTAGTCACTCACCAAGTCATTCCAAACATGCTGTTAATTGTTTTCCGTAGTTCTCTAAAGGAGAAATGTGAAGAATCTTCACACAAAGACTTTTTCATACAACAATAGTTCAGTGACCGCGTCAATCATGCTGTAAAAAGGACAGCCCCTTCCCCTCATGAAATTAGGATAAATGTAATTTGACTATATTCCAAATCTTTAGCTTGAGAGTAGCACAAGTCGTATGAACCTTTATGGTTTGAATGAATGAATGGTCAATGGAAAAAATAAAAACTTAAAATTCTCCTTTCATGTTCTACAGAACAAATAACAGTATAAAAGTTTAGAAAAAATAAATAATGACAAAATTGTCCATTTTGGGCAGTGCTCGAATTGAGACGGGGCTTTTGGACCCCACATATAAGATTTTGAACAGTCCACAGCCCTTATGATCAACACTGCACAGGACGTTAGTCACTATTATAAAAAGTATAAAAGAAGTAGGCACTTTAAAGGATTGAGGCTGCTCAGTGAAAATTAAATGCGTCTTACTGTGGCAGTTAATGGAGCGGCTCCCTGTGATATACTTTTCTACCCACCATCTACCTGTCTATCTGCTCATGAGAAAGTCTCCTAACCCTGCAAGAAGCCAGTCAATCAAGGTCAATCATGTCGATAAAATAAATAAAATCACATGACCTCCTCCTTCAAATGTAAAAGTCGTGCTACTAGACATCACCTGAGCCTCTAAATAAGTAAATAAATAAATAACAATAATCCACTTTTGTTGCTTGCATGGTTTTAAGTGAACTATTCCTTTGAGTTGGAGTTGTCAGAGACGTGGCACACTGGGGAGTGCATGTGTTCAACAGGACACAGGTTTAAATTCTGCTACCTTGGTTTACACTGATAAGTAATGTGTAAAAGTTGTAAACAAGTTCATCCTTTGACCCATCGTAGTATTTTATTTGATTTTACAACCCGTAAGTGCTTTTCAACCAGCTCTATAATTTTCTTTTGATGGTCTCCTTCAATTAAACCTACTTCATAGCTAACAATCCTAGCAGAGTAGTGTCATCTGTAGTTGCCTTACAGAAACGAAGCCTTCTTGACACGAAACAACACTCACAATGACATTATTGTGAGTCATTATTATAAGCCTTGTGTTTATCATGGAATGAGAAGGAACTGAAACAGCGTTCAGTAATTATGGACTTAAATTATGGAGCTTTATTTTACAAAGCATTGTTTTTTTTTCTTTTTCTAGACGCATTATGCTGCATGACTATATGCCCTTTACCAGTACCAGCTGTTGGAAATCAATGTACATATTCATGTTTTCCATCACCTTCAATTATTGCCTAGTCTTTTAACTCCTGCTTGGGGCTGCTACATCATTCATTTGATCACATCTTTGGAGCTCTGTGTTATAATGGGTCGTCACATATTCAGTTTTGACATTTAATGAGCAGGGTAGTCATTTATGCGTCTTATTATTTATCTTTCTTTCTCGTGTTTGTGTCAAATCGACTCTGGTCTCTCTTATCATTTTGGGTGATGCAAAATAATTAAAAGTACCCTCATAAAAGCTTTTACAAACCTAACCAGATAATGCATGACATTTTTGATGGGGAAGATACATGCCTTAATTGTACCCAATTTGACTTTCTGTCCCACCCCAAGAGAAAAGCACAGCAATAGTAGGTCACACTGGATGAGATGTGAGATTGCAAGCATCTATCAAATCCTCACTGTATTTTTCAGGCTGAAACACTTTTCTGCATGCATTGCATCAGGCCTCAACTGATGGGCCATATTGAAAGGGTCACAAAAAGCAGGGGGAAAATGCAAATTAGGCTTATCAATTTAATTTAATGTTCATTTAGTGTGACTAATTATTTTAAAATGTGATGCAATTTATCATGCCCTCTAATATTTGTTAACTCCATAATAAGGTATTTTCTAACCATCATGGAAATTCAAGCCTGAAGTATCCATTCTTGTTTTTGTGAGTCTGCTTAAAAACACTTAAAAACCAAATGTAAATGTGAAATACAATGCAACAGCCAAATGTGTATGAAGACCAATAAAGCAAAATATGCAAAAATAAGCAAAATAAATAAGCAAAATATGTCAATGCAAATGAATAGATCCACATAAATAGCTGTGAAGACTCTATTGTAAAGTTAGTTTAACTATAGGTCAGTTATATACTTTATTTCCATATAATTGAATATCAGCCGACATGTATTTAACAATATATGGACTTCTAAAGCCACTTTTTGTCTATTAAATGCTTTGCAATGCAAATTTAATTTGATGATTCTCAACAGATATTTGCAATCGATTGTGATTAATTTGGATTAATTGGCATAATTGATTTAATTAAATTAATTAGCAGGCATAAAAATTGATTTGCAGCCATAATAATATGCAACTAACCACATAATCATGCATAGTTAGTACAGAGCAATAAACAGGCTTATTAAAAGGAAGGGGGGGGGAATTCCCATTCAATCAAAACTATGGTAATTCGGGACAATTTCATCTGTATATTACAATATAGCCAAATTACACAGATGCCAATATGGGAATATACATGAACACACACATACACGAAACTACACAAGGTAAATGTCTGCTGAAAGCATAAAACCATTGCATTTACACTAACCAAAACAGTGAATCGCCCTATTCCTGTCCTATTCTTGATGTCCAATGCAGTGAAACCAGCTGAGAGCCACTGCCTTAACTCGTGTCACCATAATGATGAAAGTGACGCTACTGGCGTGTCTCCAAGTGCTGATGTGTGACATTCAGAGAATGTCACATTTTACAGTGCCTGATAGTTTCATAAAGATGTCAATCATCTTCCCACCAGTCTTGAAAGCTTCCAAATTATAGAAATACACGGCATATGCTCATATGCATCCTGCTGAAGGCATTTAGAGCTAATAGTATCCCTCAGGGACCAATAAATGATATGACTCATCTCTCCATCCACTCTTACAAAAAACAAAATTTGGTCTAAATCACGTCTGGTTTTTTTGGGGAGGCTTAAGTATTTTAGGATCAGTACTGTAGTTGTTATGAAACTGATTTGTAATACCATAAGCAGAATAAATTTTGCATTTGCATAAACATCATTTTTGCATGCTGTTCATGTGCTAATTATTCAGTCGATCTCCTGTACAGTTGACAGTTCCCAATTCAAAACCAGCTGTTGTCGTTTTATGTTTTGATTCATTAGGACAACCTGGTAGAGCATGCATCTTGAATTTGAATGGCATAAACACTGTATGTCAAGCTCTATTTTAACCTGTACTTCAGTACTGTGACTAACTTCTCCAATCTTCTGGTGACCCTAATAATCGAGATTGTTTTTCTAGCCTATCAGTGGCACTTCCACCTCGGCTTCACACTTCTAATCTCAGCATGAAATTGCTCATTTTTTTCATCCCTGCTGAAGGTTCCTAAGTGGATACTTGCTGCTTGTTTGCTTCTACCGCTGATAAGGATACTTTGCCTCCAGAAACATGAAGTAAAATGCACTTGGAGTTGCAATTTAGAGGTTTTTTTAGACTGAATGCACATTTCTTCATAGAAAACTGCAGGTCCGATTTCAAGCAAGGTATATATGCAGTAGGTTGTCGCAACATGACTTTTCTAGAACAAATCACAGTTTTTCGCTGAGTAAATCTCACAAAGCTGAGGAATTATATTTTGCATAAAGAAAATTAAGCATATTTTAGAACAATTTGCATTGTAAAATTTGTTTTATGAAAATTAAACATTTATACACAACAGTATTTTTACCATAATGCATTGTGAAGTTGGATTTTTGATTTTTTTTTAATTCCCATCACTTTAAATAAATAATTTATTATGTCTAATATATATTTTTTTATTTATTAAAGGCACAGATACAAAAAAACTATAATTTTCTTCATGCAATATATATATATATATATATATATATATATATATATATACTGTATATAATTATTTTGCATGCAGAAAATTATTAATGATTTATATATTACTATACTGCTATATATTACTATGTCTACTATATATTTTTATTCATTATTAATAAGCAATAATGTGTATACATACTTTACAACCCACAAATAAAATGTAATAAGTAATTTAATAATTAAGATAATTTTCTTCATGCAAAATAAAATTCCTCTGGTTTTGTGTCTCTCTCTCTCACTCTATATATGTAAACTTTCAATTTAAAAATACTGGCAAATATTGAT